CCCCCCCCCCCCCCCCCCAACATCAACCGCAACTTGAAAACGTCGACTACACACATATCATACCCTGCTGAACACTTTTGACCCGTCTACACCACCACCGCTTTCAGCAACAACCACACCCGTAACGTAACACCAGCACACCAACAGCAACAACCACACCCGTAACGTAACACCAGCACACCAACAGCAACACCACCCACAGCATTACCAAAACACCAGCACTATCATCACAATCAGCAACACAATAGCAGCATACTACGACACCTGTCTTCCTCGTCTTCGGCCTCGCGCGCTCTACGGCGACGGCTGCGGCTTCGGGATCGCGACCGCCGTTCGTCTCGATCGTGCCTCTTCCGACCACCGCTGCCGCCGCCGCGGGACCGGCTCCTGGAACGCTCCCTGGACGACCGTCGCCGCTTGCTGTCCCTTTCTCTGCCGAACAGTAACAGGACGCGACAAGACCAGTCTTAAACAAAAAAACATGCACAATGAAAAACACTTGACAATATTGTAGCGTAGTAGGGACAGCTCCAGAAAATTTCAACAATATCAACAACGACACGCTTCCGCAGACGACAAAACCAACATCAATAGCAGTCACGGACACTCTCAGCTCACCGCACCAAACAAACGGTGTAGCTTTCGAGCTGCTATAATACATGCATACCAACAAAACGTAGCCACGGCAAAGGATACAATAGCTACATACCTCTCTCGGTCTCGGTCTCGATCCCGTCCTCTGTCTCTGTCTCTGTCTCTGTCCCTGTCTCCGCCCGAGCGGCGTCTTCCATCCCTGTCCCTGTCCCTGGAGCTCTCCCTCCTGCTGCTCCTGCCGCTTTCTCGGCGGTGTCCCCCGGGTGAGCGGGACCTACGCCGGCCTGGGGAGCTGCGTCTCCTCCGCGACGACTCCCTGTCCCTGTCCATGTCCCTGTCCTTAACTCTATCGCTGGTGCGGTCTTTGTCCTTCCTCCTGCTGCTGCTTTCCTTTTCCCTCTCCTTATCGCCAGAGCGCCTGCTGCTGCTGCCGCCGCCGCCACCTTCTTTCTCACGCCGGGTGCTGTTGCTGCTCTTCTTCTTTTCGCTTTCGTTGTCCTCTTCTCCGGCTTCCTCCGTTTCTTCCTCCTCGTCCTCTGATGACGATGACGATGACGACGACGACCCTTCTTCTGCATCGCCTTCCGCGGGTACCTCCGCTGCCGCCACGCCTCCGTTCTCTTCCCCCTTAGAGATATCACCTGGCGCATGGGCAGCATCGTCAGCGGTAGCAACATCAGCAGCGGCAGCATCATCGTCGCTGCCCCCTTCCGCATCGTCTTCTTGGGCAACAGCAGCAGCAGCAGCAGCGCTGCCGTCGCCGTCCTCGCGACCGTCCCCTCCCTCCTCAGACGAAACGCCGTCCTCCTTCTTGGAACTCCCTTCGTTTTCTCCGTCGGAGTCCTTTTCGTCCTTCTCGCTCTGCTCCGCGTCCTTCTCCTCCGCCCTGCTCTTTTTCTTGGCCGAGCTCTTCTCCTCTTCATCCTGCCCTTCCTCCTCCTTTGAACGTTTGTGCCTGTCCCTGTCGCTACGGGAGCTCCCGCGGCGAGCGTCGTCCTCCCCTCCCCCCCCGCCACCCTCCTTGCGATCTCTGTCCCTGCGATCCCTGTCTCTACGATCCCGATCATCACGATCTTTGTCTCCCGAAGACCTGTCAGGCAGCCACCGATTCGACAAGTTTAATTTCGCGAGGAAAACTATTGACAAAAAAGAAAACAACCAGCTGAACAACGAAATGATGGGATTGGGATTGGACAGCGCTTGCATCACAATTCACAAACCCAGTCGTAGATACTGACTGTAATCTGGGGCGGGGCTGACGAAGTGACCAGGCAGAAGATACATCTCGAAGCACCCGTGGCCTTATTCAACGATGGACTGTGTGAGGTGCTACCCGTAGGTCTATCTACTGTAGCTCTGTTTCTGGGCACACAAGAAGCCACCGTTGTACAAGGACTATCTAGTTCTAGTTCTGTCGCGGGCAGCACAAAAGGTCACATGCTCGTGATACATACAAACGGTTTGCTTTCTCCACTCGTCGATGTGCATTCTTCTTCCAAGGCAGAGCGATGTGTATTCTCAATACAGTACGAGCCTGAGCCAGTTATTTCACAATAGTGTCTCAGGCGTACATGGTGCCTCTGGACACCATCGCGCTCCCCTGCTGCTGCGATCCCGGTCACTATTGCAAACAACCGCTACATCATTGACAACAACAGCAAGCAACGCAGTGTGTACACCTCACCTCTCAGCATCGCGCTTCTTGCTGCTGCGATGACGGTCCCTGTCCCTGTCGCGGTCCCTGTCGCGGTCCCTTCGGTCTTTCCCGCCCCCCCTGCCGTCGCGATCCCTCTCCCTGTCTCGAGACCTGGCTCTCTCCCGATCTCTGAGGCGGTCATCAACAGCAACCAAGCGCGTACGGGGCAAGGGGTGAGGCCCTGGCATCTCAGACCCTGAACAAAGCACCCGTAGACACAGCAGTAGAGGGGGGGGCCAAAAGTACCTCTCTCTTGTACTGTACAAGGAAGACACTGGTGCGAATGACGCGGTCACTTGCCGTAGTCTCCGGGTGTACGGACTACGCACTCTTACAACAGTGCATCGCTATCCTGGCCTGCTCTCCAAGCAGTGGAAGACAAAAATTGCGGAGCCACCAATAAGGGTACTCATAGTCGTGCATGCCGTAGTCGTTAGACCATTGACCTCGCATCCCTACAAAGCCGGGACGGAGCACGCCGGGTTCTCACCGGACCAGGCTCTCACATCACCAAGCGCGAAGCGCCGTGAGATATTCGGCGAGTCGCATGAAGGGTGCGCTGCATCCTGCTTAGGGTATTCGGCATCTTGTGCTTACTTTCTTGCGTACGGATGACAGCTGCGTGTGACTGAAATTACTTTCTGGTGCTTTCACTTCCAGAAACAGTTGTAAGCACCGTGTAACTGCCTCGAGGATGCGCGACCATTTTAACACAATGTGGTGCGATCATCCCCCTTGCGCGGAGTGAGGCTTCTCGACCCCGCACAACACAATCTACTCGACCACCATTGTGGTTACCGCCAAAAAAAAAAACGGTAACCAGGTTGCCGAGTTCACGAAGTGAAATGGCTTTTTTTACAACGTCGTTGCCAAGCGACGAAAACCCAACCCCGNAAAAAAAACGGTAACCAGGTTGCCGAGTTCACGAAGTGAAATGGCTTTTTTTACAACGTCGTTGCCAAGCGACGAAAACCCAATCCCGATGGCAAACACCGGGGGGGAGGTTGGCGGGAAAAATCACAAAATCACCTTTCGCGGCCACTGCTGTCCCTGCCAGACCTCTTCCTGTCCCTGTCCCTGTCCCTGTGGCGGCGAGAAGAGGAGTGGGACCTGGACCTCGACCTGGTCCTCCTCCTGCTGCTCTTCCTGTCCTTGTCCTTGTCCTTGTCCCTCCTCGAGGACGACTCCCTCTCCCCGTCCCTCTTGCTGGAGCCCCGCTCTCGGTCCCGGTCCCTGTCCCTGTCCCTCCCGCTGCTGCCCCGGCCGTGCCGGTCGCTGCTGCTCCTCTTCCTGCTGCTGCTGCCGCCGTCCTTCTTACGGTCCTTCTTGGCTCGGCGGTGCTTGTGCTTCTTCTCTTCTTCTTCCTCCTCTTCCTTGTCTTCGTCATCATGGTCATCATCATCATCATCGCCACTCCCCGCTTCCTCCGCCTCGTCGTCGTCGTTCTTACTCGTTTCCTCCTTGGCTACTCCTCCGTTCGCGTTCCCGTTGCTGTTTCCTTGATCCTCCTCTCCATCGTTCTCCTGGAACGGCACCAGACAAGTAAACATATATCAGCATCCAATCATGACATTCACTGCTACTGCTGTGCGGTGGTAGCCGTGAGCGCCCCCCAGTAGTCCAACGTACTGAGGGTACAAAGATTGTTGCCGTTTAAGTTGGGCATCACGGCACCCTACAAATAGACAGGATGTAGGTCGAGAGCTCTAATCTTTGCTTTTCTTCCGGCATGTCGCGGGAAGCAGACAAGGGCACACGATGAAGAGCAATCCGACTGTTACACACCGGATCGCAGCTCTTCAGCTTACCGGGGCTCCACGATGGTACCGCTAATCCGAACGAAGCAGGCGGACGGTTACCGTATGTTGCATGATGTAAGATATCACACCCCCTGGAACGATTCTCAAAAGTCCGATTACTCCACAACGAAGAGGATGTCACAGTCGAATGCTAAGTATTCAGAAGCCTCCCGACGCGAGGGTATCAACCCCTCGCGATACTTTCCTTCACAGAGTGATCGAGCTCCATAAACGGTCAAAATGGGGTGTGGTGTCTTATGCATTTACGGTAATAGAGTTAAAAAAAAAAAGGTAAAACGCGTCACCCTCTGCGCCGGTAATCTTTTTACCAACAGCAAGACTGTACACAGCAGTAGTCAGGAGGAAGGCACCGAACCAATGCCGCGCTTGAGGGCATACCATCGCAAATCGTTGGCTACGCTCCCCGACACGCACAGACCTTGCAAGCCTCGTCGGACATACCATGTACTGGGATACAGAACAACTTCACATGACTACGTTGGAACATTCATCGAGCGGATTCCTAGAAAGTAGACGTAACCTCACAGAAACACTACAGTATATGACACAAGATCAAACACCCCCTTGACCGATTCTCGAAGCTCGATTTCTCAACTGCAGGAGCAGTCACAGCGCCGAAAACGGCGGCGTTGGAACCGTCTTGTAGAGAGCTTTTCGAAAATGTATCATCTCGTTTGTGCATCCTCTTCGTTATGGAGTAATCGAGCTTTGAAAATCGGTCCAGGGGGTGGGTTATCTTGTGTCATATACGGTACCTGTCTCCCATTTCTGACTTAAAAACAGGTGACCAATTTCAGCTCTCTCCCTCGATGATTTTTCCCAACGCCAAAAGCGAGCACCGCTGACTGACGCTCGCGGCTATTGCGAAAGGCTTGCAAATGTACCCATTCGTCCTCGCTCGCGAAGGATCCACTCTGGGGGGCCAACACAAGGACAATCATCCGTCCATCCCCAGACCCACCCAAACCAACCCCGTCCGCCCTCGAGACAACAGCCGCACAAACACTCGATCTCCCCCAAAAAAAACGGAGAGGGAAGGGGGAAATAACAACAGCACGGCCGAATTCTCCCTCTCACCCCTCCCTCGTCGCTCGATCCATCATCATCGGAGCTCTCGCTCCCGGCACTGCTCGACGCCCCCTCTGCTTCCTCCTTGTCGCCAGCCTCGCGATCCTGCTTGCCCTTCCCCACCCCGCCTCTCGCGCGCCCTGGCTTGGAAGGCGTCGTAGCGCCGTCGTTAGTAGAGGATACGGTCGACGTCACCCCCACCTCGTCATCTGCTGCGGGCGCACTCATCGGCTCGATCTCTGCTGGATCAGTCGCAGCCCACGCGCGTAACTACCGTGTGCGCGAACCGCTTTGGTCTTTTCTCTCCTATCTCGCTATCTCTGGCTGGGCAGCTGCTTCTTTCGGGAGCACAACTCGTGGTGCCCCGCATTAGCACAAATTTTGGAAAGGACGAGGGGGGGGCTCAAAGAGGCTCCGCGTTTCCACGATAATCCCCCGCACCCCCCGGTGCGCTGGTTCCTGCCAACAGCCGTACCTTCACGACGGCATCGTCATGGCTGCCCCACCCAAGCCTCTGAGCGTGGATATCCATACTTCGGTGAAAGAGGGAGACATGGCGAAAGTCCTCGAGTTTTTGGAGGAAGGGGGCGATGTCAACGTTCGTTGCAGGTAAATTGCTGTTTGGCACATCGCACTTTTTTTCGTCTCGCTGTTCGACATCGAAGAGCAGCATGTGTAGACTACGTAGTCTACAGCGGACATAGCAGGCAGGGTAAGAGGAGAGCAGCTCTAACTACTGTTGTGATCCCTATGCACCTACACGCTACGAGTATGTCCTACCGTTGGTCGTCAACCTTTGACTCTATCGCTAACACCAATGGAAAGGAACAAGATGTGTTTGTCCAAAACATGACAACAGCGGGGGTCAGCTCCTACAGCAGGATACATGTCTGCTTCTGCTGTTGGGATCGATGCGCCACATGCTCTTTAGGCCACAAGACTGTTGTCGTCCATCTCACGCCCCACTTTNCCTGTCTCCCATTTCTGACTTAAAAACAGGTGACCAATTTCAGCTCTCTCCCTCGATGATTTTTCCCAACGCCAAAAGCGAGCACCGCTGACTGACGCTCGCGGCTATTGCGAAAGGCTTGCAAATGTACCCATTCGTCCTCGCTCGCGAAGGATCCACTCTGGGGGGCCAACACAAGGACAATCATCCGTCCATCCCCAGACCCACCCAAACCAACCCCGTCCGCCCTCGAGACAACAGCCGCACAAACACTCGATCTCCCCCAAAAAAAACGGAGAGGGAAGGGGGAAATAACAACAGCACGGCCGAATTCTCCCTCTCACCCCTCCCTCGTCGCTCGATCCATCATCATCGGAGCTCTCGCTCCCGGCACTGCTCGACGCCCCCTCTGCTTCCTCCTTGTCGCCAGCCTCGCGATCCTGCTTGCCCTTCCCCACCCCGCCTCTCGCGCGCCCTGGCTTGGAAGGCGTCGTAGCGCCGTCGTTAGTAGAGGATACGGTCGACGTCACCCCCACCTCGTCATCTGCTGCGGGCGCACTCATCGGCTCGATCTCTGCTGGATCAGTCGCAGCCCACGCGCGTAACTACCGTGTGCGCGAACCGCTTTGGTCTTTTCTCTCCTATCTCGCTATCTCTGGCTGGGCAGCTGCTTCTTTCGGGAGCACAACTCGTGGTGCCCCGCATTAGCACAAATTTTGGAAAGGACGAGGGGGGGGCTCAAAGAGGCTCCGCGTTTCCACGATAATCCCCCGCACCCCCCGGTGCGCTGGTTCCTGCCAACAGCCGTACCTTCACGACGGCATCGTCATGGCTGCCCCACCCAAGCCTCTGAGCGTGGATATCCATACTTCGGTGAAAGAGGGAGACATGGCGAAAGTCCTCGAGTTTTTGGAGGAAGGGGGCGATGTCAACGTTCGTTGCAGGTAAATTGCTGTTTGGCACATCGCACTTTTTTTCGTCTCGCTGTTCGACATCGAAGAGCAGCATGTGTAGACTACGTAGTCTACAGCGGACATAGCAGGCAGGGTAAGAGGAGAGCAGCTCTAACTACTGTTGTGATCCCTATGCACCTACACGCTACGAGTATGTCCTACCGTTGGTCGTCAACCTTTGACTCTATCGCTAACACCAATGGAAAGGAACAAGATGTGTTTGTCCAAAACATGACAACAGCGGGGGTCAGCTCCTACAGCAGGATACATGTCTGCTTCTGCTGTTGGGATCGATGCGCCACATGCTCTTTAGGCCACAAGACTGTTGTCGTCCATCTCACGCCCCACTTTGCAACCGCGACACCATGCGATTGGGCTGACATGGCTTAGACTTACCAATTTGTTTTTATGCGGCTTGCGACCAACGTGTATTGCTGTAAAATAGGGATAAATGTCATAATTTCCTTTGCCGTCAAAGGGCAACAGATGGCAACGTGGGCAAAAAGCTCTACAAGAAGACTTGGACGTGTGTGTGGCTAGACTACATGTCGACCGGGTAGACTTCCAAGAAAAGGATTAACCTACGCTTGACGGGGCGAGGGGGTCCTGGGGACTCTAACTGCTGGTAGAGTTGTTCCAGGGCAGAGGATTGAGCAGGTTTTAAAGGTTCATCCAACGGAAACGTGTTTGGAGGGGGTCGGTGTGTATTTATATTGTACGTTTGGCAGCCTCTCGGAGTTCGTTCTATCAGGTACGCGCCTGGCTTCGCGTGCCGCCCTCAATGGCGTCCTTTTGTTGACCTTAGCTTTGTGCGCAAGCACGAAAAGATAAGCGAAAAAAAATATCATCCAGCAATTTGTGTGTGTGAGTATCTATTGGTGGCATCACCCGCGCTACCGACTGACCACGGAAGACCTGACAAGTCTCAGCGAGGCTACTATTCAGCAACAGTAGTAGACCCTTGTAAGGGTCGTGATGTGTTCTTGTGGCTCCTTAGCTCGTGCCTCAGAGCCGGTATTTGGTACACCAACCACCGTGTGCGCACGGAGGGCAAGACTGGAACGGAACCGTGGCTGCGGGAAATGCTCTGGATTCCAGGTCCCCACGTCGTTACCATGCACAAAGGCTTCACGTTATCTCGCAGGGAAATCACAACCCCCGATGTATTCTTGCTGTCCTCTTTTTGTTGTTTCATGCTGTGTTATCGCTCCCTGCCAGGTATCGGACCATTCCTCTGCACCGGGCTGCGGCGTACAACCACCAAGACATTGCCAGTCTGCTGCTAGAAAAGGGGGCTGATATTGAGGTAACTACGAACGTTGTGTTGTCGCTGCCTTTTCCGCCTTATGTGCAAGCATCTGCACTACTGTACAGGGGTGCGTCGTTCATTTTCATCCCAACGAGCTTCCAATTTAAGCTCTGCTTGAAGGGACTTGCATATAGGAATCGCGCTGACCTGCTTGTCGGGACAAGTTTGTATAATGGCATGATGACGTAATGACATGACGGCATGATGGCATATTGACATGAAGACATGATGAGATGGCAGACATGATACCATGTGATGGCATAATGGCATGATGACGCAGGCACGAGACGGGACTGGGCAAACGCCCTTGTTTTGGGCGTGCAAAGGGGGACACGGGGAGATGATCACCCTCCTGCTTTCCAAGGGGGCTCACATCAATGCGCAAGACGCGAAAGAGGTGATGAACCAGATAACGCTACTTCGGTGCTTTGCACAGTACGGGCAAGCGTGACAAACAGCATATTGCTTGCTTTGTGTTGCTGGCGTGACAAGGTGTGCTGGACGATTCCGACCCGTCTGATCACGATTGTGGCGCGCTTTCTTAGAACTCAATTTCTCCATGTAGGCGTGGTCACTACCGATCCTTTTGCGGCAGCTTGCAGTGGCGTTTTTTTTTTTTAGCCGAAAACAGCCGATCACAGGGAATCCACCTGGCAGTTTCGCGCATTCGGGACCTCTTCTTTGAGGTAGCAATACCTTGGTAGGACTCCGGCCTCGTTACTTTGGTTTTGCCAACCTCTCAAGCCTTTCTAAGCTTGCGTGTTCGTCTGGCGTAACGGTCGTTCTGCTCTTGCGAGCGTTGTTTTTAGATTACGTTTGAGATTTTACCTGGGAATTAATCCAGCCTGCAGTTCTTGGTAGCTTCGCTGACCACGTGCCCTGTGTTCCTACTACCCCCCGCCCCCACAGCGTACGCCACTGCACGAAGCGGCGCGACATGGGAAGAAAGAAACCTGCGCGTTATTGCTCAAGCGAGGCGCAAAACGAGATACCATGGACGTGGACGCGAACGAACCCGGGGAAGACTCGGAACCAAGCGTCCCAGAGAGTGTTCGTAGTCAAATAAGGAGTATGATCGAAAACTCATGATTTTGATTGTTGGTTCGCATGTCATGGTATAGAACAGATGGTGGGGGAAGGAATGATTTTGAGCGTTTGAGAGAGTGCTATTCACCGTTCACTCATCGCGATGCCAAGCACGCAACGAGGTACTGATAAGTTTTGACGGTAATAATGCATTCTGGTATAGTGAAACCATTAGAGTAGACTCAGAGTCGAGGCTACCTGGCAACAGCACGTGCTACGTTGAATTCGAGTCATGTGTTGCGCTCGCCGAAGCGGAGGTACAGGTTTGGCTTGGAGGGCAGGTGCAACGTCGCTGTCCTTTCATCAAACTCACACCTCGACCATCAAAACGGTGCTCCACAGGTCATGCTGATGTCCCTGTAGAGATGTATGTGCGATTGCAGATCCTCCTTGAACGACTTACCATCGCTAGACCTGAGGAAAATTACGCAAATTCCTAAGGTGCCCCTCCGGTACTTCAACCCGAGTACTCTTCATGCGTACAAACGATTCCGACCGGTAGATTCCGCCGGCGGCTCAATCGAAGTTTCATGTTGCATGCGAACCGTGCCAGTATCATGCCGTTTTGCATATTTCTTGGAAAAACTACCATGTTGTCCGGCCAACTGACGCAGATACCTTCCGTGGTCACAGGCCAGTTCCCCAACAAATGGGTACCACTTCGAAATAACCATTGATCGATGGTATGTTTTTTTTTGTTCATGACATCAAGCCGTGCAGACGGTGATGGGCCTACCACCGTCATGCACGGGTTGACGCCACGAACAAGAAAAAATAGTTTGCGAACACCCAGCTACAATTTCCCCCTCTCAGGCCAGCAAGCTCTATCCAGCTCATCACCCCCATTGCCGCGCCCGCCTCGCAACATAGAACGTGAAATCGACCTTGTACATTGGTGGGAGTAAGCAACGAGACATGCACCCCCGCCCTGTGTGGTCTTCCTTTTTTTTGTAAGCGCCCACAGCCACACCATTTAGGAGCGACTGCACGTAGGTTGCGTTTCGAGTCAGCACCGTAGCCACTAGACTAGTCGAGACTGAGCGTAGACCAGGCAGTGTAAAATCACGCATAAATAATGCATTGGGTATGGTTGGTCGAGAATTCCAGGTGTCCAGATCCATTGATTTGTAGATAGATCCGGGCTGATCGCACTGCTGCTGTATTTGTGTCTCAGCTTTCAGCAACTTGCTGCTGTGCCAAATCGTGGAACAAGCTGAGATTCGTGGCACAAGCATAAATGACGAAGATTTTTGTACGTTCAAGATGTTCTCCAGGAAGATTACGACGTCCGGTGTCATAGCCAGAAACTCCTTCAGTAACCTAACTTGGGTGTAGGGTTGTTGTTGTTGTTGTTTCTCACATTAGCTCTAAAAACGAAAGATTGGGAGCCCGTGGTCTCAAAACCCGGCATACACGACCCCACGAAGAAACAGAAAAAA